ATACCGTCCTTGTAGAAATACAGTTTTGTTCTATTTATTTACAGACTTCAGAGATTCTCAAACAACATAAATTGCACAGTAGTTATAATATATATTTAAATGGTGTCGTTGAATTTTTTGTTTTTTACACCTAGTAAACAGTCTTTGAGATACGGTATTAAATTGCACATTATCATCATGCCACAGAGGGTGCTGTTTCGAGGCTTTGGTACACGTGGTCCTGATTGGAAGAAAATAGCTCCACTCTAGCCTGGTTCAACCAGACTGAAACACTGCTCACCATTGTAACAACGGAGAAACCTCACAAAGTCAGTTTGGATTCCAGGCTACTAAACTTTCCCCTCCTCCCCACTACCACATGTAGTGAGATCTACTTAAACCATGTGTGTGTTTCAAATATAACCTATTCCCTTTACCAGTGGTTCTCAACTAGGGCTACTTGGCCTATTCACAGGGGCTACTTGGCCTATTCACAGGGGCTACTTGGCCTACCCACAGGGGGTACTTGGCCTACCCACAGGGGGTACTTGGCCTACCCACAGGGGGTACTTGGCCTACCCACAGAGGGTACTTGGCCTACCCACAGAGGGTACTTGGCCTACCCACAGAGGGTACTTGGCCTACCCACAGGGGGTACTTGGCCTATCCACAGGGGCTACTTGAGAAGATTCATGAGCCTGTAGGCTTCCTGGTCAAATGCACATAAGGGGGTACTTCAGGGCATAACCAAATGTACTTGGTGGTACAGTAACGAAAAAAAAGGGTTGAGAACCACTGCCCAGTGCCCTGGTCAAAGGTAGTGCACTATAAAGGGAATGGGGTGTCATTTGGGAGCATTCCACTACAACACCTTCCTTAATACCATTGGCCTGTAACTCTCCATTCTGAAAAGCTGATTTCTCCACAACACCTCAGGATTGGGGAAGACTGGGCAGTGTGGTCACAGACGTAGGGTCTTCTATGGATCGGACCCCTCCATGGCAGCCATTTTGGAATGAAGAGTTCAGGTTATTATTGGGAGCCACTGGAGACTAGTGGGGACGTGTATGTCCCAAATGGCCATCCTATGGGCCCTAGTCAAAAGTAGTGCACTATATAGTGGATAGGGTGTCATTGGGGACAAAGACAAAGTCACAATCATTCTAAAATCTGATTCTGGTTCTATTATCATCATTAGACTCAATATTACTTTATCCTCATTGGTCAATCGTGGTCAGTAGCACAACATAGAATGGAATTTCGACAGGAAGGAAAAGGCTATACTCCAATACCTATCTGCAAGTCAATGAAGCCCACCTTGGCAGTACCTCCACCCCACTAGAAGATGCTGGAGGAAACAGGTACAAAAGTATCTATATCGACATAACCTGAAAGGCCGCTCAGCAAGGAAGAAGCCACTGCTCCAAAACCGCCATAAAAAAGACAGACTACGGTTTGCAACTGCACATGGGGACAAAGATCGTACTTTTTGGAGAAATGTCTGGTCTGATGAAACAAAAATAGAACTGTTTGGCCATAAGGACCATCATTATGTTTGGAGTAAAAAGGGGGTAGCTTGCAGGCCGAAGAACACCATCCCAACCGTGAAGCACGGGGGTGGCAGCATCATGCTGTGGGGGTGTTTTGCTGCAGGAGGGACTGGTGCACTTCACAAAATAGATGGTATCATGAGGAAGGAAAACTATGTGGATATATTGAAGCAACATCAAGACATCAGTCAGGAAGTTGAAGCTTGGTGGCAAATGGGTCTTCCAACTGGACAATGACCCCAAGCATACTTCCAAAGTTGTGGCAAAATGGCTTAAGGACAACAAAGTCAAGGTATTGGAGTGGCCATCACAAAGCCCTGACCTCAATCCTATAGAAAATGTGTGGGCAGAACTGAAAAAGCGTGTGCGAGCAAGGAGGCCTACAAACCTGACTCAGTTACACCAGCTCTGTCAGGAGGAATGGGCCAAAATTCACCCAACTTATTGTGGGAAGCTTGTGGAAGGCTACCCAAAACGTTTGACCCAAGTTAAACAATTTAAAGGCAATGCTACCAAATACTAATTGAGTGTATGTAAACTTCTGACCCACTGGGAATGTGATGAAAGAAATAAAAGCTGAAATAAATAATTCTCTCTACTATTATTCTGACATTTCACATTCTTAAAATAAAAGTGGTGATCCTAACTGACCTAAAACAGGGAATTTTTTACTAGGATTAAATGTCAGGAATTGTGGAAAAACTGAGTTTAAATGTATTTGGCTAAGGTGTATGTAAACTTCCGACTTCAACTGTATTTAATGTACTGTACTGTCCCCAGTCTCTGTGCTTCTAGCACTCTGGTTTTACACACTCAGTGGGCAGTTTATTGGGTATAACCATCTAGTACCGGGTCGGACCCACCTGTAGCCATGAAGGGATGCACCTGGTCAGCAACAATGTTCAGATACGATGTGGCGTTCAAACATTTATCAATTGGCACCTAACGTGTGCCAGGAAAACATTCCCCACACCATTACACCACCACCACCACCACCACCACCAACCTGTACCGTTGACACCAGGCAGGATGGAGCCATGGAATCATGTTGCTTACGCTAAGTCATGACTCTGCCATCAGTATGATGCAACAGGAACTGGGATTCGTCGGAACGGGGGATGTTTTTCCACTCCTCAATTGTCCAGTGTTGGTGATCGAGTGCCCACTGGAGCAGCTTCTTCTAGTTTTTAGTTGATAGGAGTGGAACCCAGTGTGGTCGTCTGCTGCAATAGCCCATCTGTGACAAGGACTGACGAGTTGTGAATTCCGAGATGCCATTCTGCATACAGTGAGGAAAAAAGTATTTGATCCCCTGCGGATTTTGTACGTTTGCCCACTGACAAAGACATGATCAGTCTATAATTTTAATGGTAGGTTTATTTGAACAGTGAGAGACAGAATAACAACAAGAAAATCCAGAAAAACGCATGTTAAAAATGTTATGAATTGATTTGCATTTTAATGAGGGAAATAAGTATTTGACCCCTCTGCAAAACATGACTTTGTACTTGGTGGCAAAACCCTTGTTGGCAATCACAGAGGTCAGACGTTTCTTGTAATTGGCCACCAGGTTTGCACACATCTCAGGAGGGATTTTGTCCCACTCCTCTTTGTAGATCTTCTCCAAGTCATTAAGGTTTTGAGGCTGACGTTTGGCAACTCGAACCTTCAGCTCCCTCCACAGATTTTCTATGGGATTAAGGTCTGGAGACTGGCTAGGCCACTCCAGGACCTTAATGTGCTTCTTCTTGAGCCACTCCTTTGTTGCCTTGGCCGTGTGTTTTGGGTCATTGTCATGCTGGAATACCCATCCACGACCCATTTTCAATGCCCTGGCTGAGGGAAGGAGGTTCTCACCCAAGATTTGACGGTACATGGCACCGTCCCTTTGATGCAGTGAAGTTGTCCTGTCCCCTTAGCAGAAAAACACCCCCAAAGCATAATGTTTCCACCTCCATGTTTGACGGTGGGGATGGTGTTCTTGGGGTCATAGGCAGCATTCCTCCTCCTCCAAACACGGCGAGTTGAGTTGATGCCAAAGAGCTCGATTTTGGTCTCATCTGACCACAACACTTTCACCCAGTTCTCCTCTGAATCATTCAGATGTTCATTGGCAAACTTCAGACGGGCCTGTATATGTGCTTTCTTGAGCAGGGGGACCTTGCGGGCGCTGCAGGATTTCAGTCCTTCACGGCGTAGTGTGTTACCAATTGTTTTCTTGGTGACTATGGTCCCAGCTGGTTGAGATCATTGACAAGATACTCCCGTGTAGTTCTGGGCTGATTCCTCACCGTTCTCATGATCATTGCAACTCCACGAGGTGAGATCTTGCATGGAGCCCCAGGCCGAGGGAGATTGACAGTTCTTTTGTGTTTCTTCCATTTGCGAATAATCACACCAACTGTTGTCACCTTCTCACCAAGCTGCTTGGCGATGGTCTTGTTGCCCATTCCAGCCGTGTGTAGGTCTACAATCTTGTCCCTGACATCCTTGGAGAGCTCTTTGGTCTTGGCCATGGTGGAGAGTTTGGAATCTGATTGATTGATTGCTTCTGTGGACAGTTGTATTTTATACAGGTAACAAACTGAGATTAGGAGCACTCCCTTTAAGTGTGTGCTCCTAATCTCAGCTCGTTACCTGTATAAAAGACACCTGGGAGACAGAAATCTTTCTGATTGAGAGGGGGTCAAATACTTATTTCCCTCATTAAAATGCAAATCAATTTATAACATTTTTGACATGCGTTTATATTAGTTTGTTGTTGTTATTCTGTCTCTCACTGTTCAAATAAACCTACCATTAAAATTATAGACTGATCATTTCTTTGTCAATGGGCAAACGTACAAAATCAGCAGGTGATCAAATACTTTTTTCCCTCACTGTACCAGTTGTACTGCACTGTTATTTGCCTGTTTGTGGCCCGCCTGTTAGCTTGCACGATTCTTGCCATTCTCCTTCGACCTCTCTAACCAACAAGCTGTTTTCGCCCACAGGACTGCCGCTGACTGGATGTTTTTTTGTTTGTCGCACCATTCTCTGTAAACCCTAGACACTGCCGTGCGTGAAAAACCCAGGAGGCCGGCTGTTTCTGAGATACTGGAAACTGACGCGCCTAGCACCGACGATCACACCACGCTCAACATCGCTTAGGTCACTCGTTTTGTCCACTAATGTTCAATCGAATAGTAACTGAATGCCTCGATGCCTGACTGGCTGCTTTATATAGCAAGCCACGGCCACGTGACTCACTGTACCTAATAAACTGGCCACTAAGTGTATAATGTACTGTACTCAGTCTCTGGCTACTAGCTTGCTTGGTCATTCACACTAACGTTGTGTCACTCTAAAGCAATGTCACACTTGATGAAGCAACACACAGTATATCATTTAGCCGATAGTCTAATTCAACACTTGGAGGAATCTCAATCTCACTGATTGGTATAAAATACTTGGGTCTCTGTGATGGAGAGGTCAGGGGGTCTCTGGTCTCTGTGATGGAGAGGTCAGGGGGTCTCTGGTCTCTGTGATGGAGAGGGCAGGGGGTCTCTGGTCTCTGTGATTGAGAGGGCAGGGGGTCTCTGGTCTCTGTGATGGAGAGGTCAGGGGGTCTCTGGTCTCTGTGATTGAGAGGGCAGGGGGTCTCTGGTCTCTGTGATGGAGAGGTCAGGGGGTCTCTGGTCTCTGTGATGGAGAGGTCAGGGGGTCTCTGGTCTCTGTGATGGAGAGGTCAGGGGGTCTCTGGTCTCTGTGATGGAGAGGTCAGGGGGTCTCTGGTCTCTGTGATGGAGAGGTCAGGGGGTCTCTGGTCTCTGTGATGAGGAGGTCAGGGGTCTCTGGTCTCTGTGATGAGGAGGTCATGGGTCTCTGGTCTCTGTGATGGAGAGGTCAGGGGGTCTCTGGTCTCTGTGATGAGGAGGTCATGGGTCTCTGTGATGGAGAGGTCAGGGGGTCTCTGGTCTCTGTGATGAGGAGGTCAGGGGGTCTCTGGTCTCTGTGATTGAGAGGGCAGGGGGTCTCTGGTCTCTGTGATGGAGAGGTCAGGGGGTCTCTGTGATGAGGAGGTCAGGGGGTCTCTGGTCTCTGTGATGGAGAGGTCAGGGGGTCTCTGGTCTCTGTGATGGAGAGGTCAGGGGGTCTCTGGTCTCTGTGATGGAGAGGTCAGGGGGTCTCTGGTCTCTGTAATGAGGAGGTCAGGGGTATCTGGTGTCTGTGATGAGGAGGTCATGGGTCTCTGGTCTCTGTGATGGAGAGGTCAGGGGGTCTCTGGTCTCTGTGATGAGGAGGTCAGGGGTCTCTGGTTTATGGAGAAGGGTATGTACTGATAATGGAGTTTAGTGGAGAATAATAAGATGGGGCAGTCACAGTGTGATCAAACTACCCAGCATGCAGACAACTCCACACATCTGACAACAACCACCAACCAAGCATGGCATTCTGTGACCGGGTGCTTGTAAACAACATCTACAAACCAGGTCCAGACCTAGACCAGGAACTAGACTAGGACCAGACCTAGACCCAGACCTAGACCTAGCATTGGAACCAGATCTAAACCTGGGCCCAGCCAGCATCCCTTTCCCCCTGTTCTCTCCTGCATCCAGGCCAGGATGGTCACCTGGAGCTTCACCCTTCACTGGTCCGGCTGGAGGGATAGAGGGCCCATGTCTCTCTCTCTTCCCCAGGTTTGGGAGAGGTAAAGAGGGGTAAGAGAGGGAGGGAGCTGTGCTGGATGCAGAGGATGGATGGGTGGATCAAGGGGTGGAGAGGTACAGGGGTGCTGTGATGGTATCTGGCTCCTCTCTACCTCTCCTCTTCTCCCTCTGGCCCTGTTCATCCTCCTCCTCATCACTTGTTCTCGATGAGAGACTGGACCTTGTGCACCAGCTCTCTGGCGATCTGAAGGATGTGCTGCACGTCATGACGCTCTGCCATCTCTGTTATACAAACACACACAGGAAGTCAGGGAGATGGTTTTATACACACAGGAAGTCAGGGAGATGGTTTTATACACACAGGAAGTCAGGGAGATGGTTTTATACACACAGGAAGTCAGGGAGTTGGTTTTATACACACATGAAGTCAGGGAGATGGTTTTATACACACAGGAAGTCAGGGAAATGGTTTTATACACACAGGAAGTCAGGGAGATGGTTTTATACACACAGGAAGTCAGGGAGATGGCTTTATACACACCGGACGTCAGGGAGCTGGTTTTATACACACCGGAAGTCAGGGAGCTGGTTTTATACACACCGGAAGTCAGGGAGATGGTTTTATACACACAGGAAGTCAGGGAGTTGGTTTTATACACACAGGAAGTCAGGGAGATGGTTTTATACACACCGGAAGTCAGGGAGCTGGTTTTATACACACAGGAAGTCAGGGAAATGGTTTTATACACACAGGAAGTCAGGGAGATGGTTTTATACACACAGGAAGTCAGGGAGATGGTTTTATACACACAGGAAGTCAGGGAGATGGCTTTATACACACAGGAAGTCAGGGAGATGGTTTTATACACACAGGAAGTCAGGGACATGGTTTTATACACACAGGAAGTCAGGGACATGGTTTTATACACCCCGGAAGTCAGGGAGATGGCTTTATACACACCGGAAGTCAGGGAGATAGCTTTATACACACAGGAAGTCAGGGAGATAGCTTTATACACACAGGAAGTCAGGGAGATGGCTTTATACACACAGGAAGTCAGGGAGATGGTTTTATACACACCGGAAGTCAGGGAGATGGTTTTATACACACAGGAAGTCAGGGAGATGGTTTTATACACACAGGAAGTCAGGGAGATGGTTTTATACACACAGGAAGTCAGGGAGATGGTTTTATACACACATGAAGTCAGGGAGATGGTTTTATACACACAGGAAGTCAGGGACATGGTTTTATACACACAGGAAGTCAGGGAAATGGTTTTATACACACAGGAAGTCAGGGAGATGGCTTTATACACACCGGACGTCAGGGAGCTGGTTTTATACACACAGGAAGTCAGGGAGATGGTTTTATACACACCGGAAGTCAGGGAGATGGTTTTATACACACAGGAAGTCAGGGACATGGTTTTATACACACAGGAAGTCAGGGACATGGTTTTATACACCCCGGAAGTCAGGGAGAAGGCTTTATACACACCGGAAGTCAGGGAGATAGCTTTATACACACAGGAAGTCAGGGAGATGGCTTTATACACACAGGAAGTCAGGGAGATGGTTTTATACACACCGGAAGTCAGGGTGATGGTTTTATACACACAGGAAGTCAGGGAGATGGTTTTATACACACAGGAAGTCAGGGAGCTGGTTTTATACACACCGGAAGTCAGGGTGATGGTTTTATACACACAGGAAGTCAGGGAGATGGTTTTATACACACAGGAAGTCAGGGAGCTGGTTTTATACACACAGGAAGTCAGGGGGATGGTTTTATACACACAGGAAGTCAGGGAGATGGTTTTATACAATGAACACAGTCTGCTCCATCACAACACATTTTACCATGTCCTTGTTGGGGTCCTAACTGGCACCCTATTCCCTACATAGTGCACTACTTTGACCGGATCCATAGAGCCCTGGTCCAAAGTAGTGCACTATAAAGGGAATAGGGTGTCAATTGGGACTAAACATCTGTATGTCTGTCTGTCTGTCACCATTGAAGAATGTGATGATGTCAGTGAAGTCCATGGTGTTATCTCTGATGATCTCCCTGTAGACCTCTACCAGAGCCAGCGCCAGGAACAGGACGAAGTGCTGAGAGGAGATACGGGGGGCCACCCAGATCACCTCCCATACTGAGAACACATCCTGGTACAGCATCTCTGGAGGGGAGACACACACACACACACACACACACACACACACACACACACACACACACACACACACACACAGAGGAGATCCACACACACACACACACACACACACACACACAGAGGAGATCCACACACACACACACAGATACACACACACACACACACAGAGGAGATCCACACACAGACACACACATACAGAGGACACACACACACACACAGTTACTTGAGTTGTATTTCAACTCCAATCTGAAATGTCATACAGAAATCCAGTGTACTATGTTCCCACACTAGAAAAGAGAAAGAGTTGAGTTGCTGTGCAGAGCCTCCTCGTACATTTTACATTTTAGTCATTTAGCAGACGCTCTTATCCAGAGCGACTTACAGTTAGTGAGTGCATACATGTTTATTTTTTTCATACTGGGCCCCCCGAGGGAATCGAACCCACAACCCTGGCGTTGCAAACGCCATGCTCTACCAACTGAACTACATCCCTGCCGGCCATTCCCTCCCCTACCCTGGACGACGCTGGGCCAATTGTGCGCCGCCCCATGGGTCTCCCGGTCGCGGCCGGCTACGACAGAGCCTGGATTCGAACCAGGATCTCTAGTGGCACAGCTAGCATTGTGCCACTGAAGACCATGGTTCAATCCCAGCATTACACCCTTCCCACTGTTCAAATCAAATCAAATTTGATTGGTATCGTAGACATATTTTGCAGATGTTATTGCAGGTGCAGCGAAATGCTTATGTTTCTAGCTCCAACAGTGCAGTAATACCTAACAATACAAAACAATACACACAAATACCCCCTACAAAAAAGAAAGAAATTAAGAAATATCAGAATGAGCAACGTCAGAGTCCGGAATATAAATATATACTGTAGGTATTCCTCTTGTCCAGATGGGATAGGGTAGTGGGTAGTGGGCAGTGGGTAGTGGGTAGTGGGTAGTGGGTAGTGGGTAGTGGGCAGTGGGTAGTGGGTAGTGGGTAGTGGGTAGTGGGTAGTGGGTAGTGGGCAGTGGGTAGTGGGCAGTGGGTAGTGGGCAGTGGGTAGTGGGTAGTGGGTAGTGGGTAGTGGGTAGTGGGTTGTGGGCAGTGGGTAGTGGGTAGTGGGTAGTGGGTAGTGGGCAGTGGGTAGTGGGTAGTGGGTAGTGGGTAGTGGGCAGTGGGTAGTGGGTAGTGGGTAGTGGGTAGTGGGTAGTGGGCAGTGGGTAGTGGGTAGTGGGTAGTGGGTAGTGGGTAGTGGGTAGTGGGTAGTGGGTAGTGGGCAGTGGGTAGTGGGCAGTGGGCAGTGGGTAGTGGGTAGTGGGCAGTGGGTAGTGGGTAGTGGGCAGTGGGTAGTGGGCAGTGGGCAGTGGGTAGTGGGTAGTGGGCAGTGGGTAGTGGGCAGTGGGAGGGCGATTGCGTAATCCGTGGATCTGTTGGGGCGGTATGCAAATTGTAGTGGGTCTAGGGTGTCGGGTAAGGTAGAGGTGATATGATCCTTAACTAGTCTCTCAAAGCAATGATGACAGAAGTGAGTGCTACAGGGCGATAGTCATTTAGTTCAGTTACCTTTGCTTTCTTGGGTACAGGAACAATGGTGGACATCTTAAAGCAAGTGGGGACAGCAGACTGGGATAGGGATGTCCGTAAACACTCCAGCCAGCTGGTCTGCGCATACACTGAGGACGCGGATTGTGACGCTGTCTGGGCTGGCAGCCTTGCGAGGGTTAACACGTTTAAACGTCTTACACACGTCGGCCACGGAGAACGAGAGCTCACAGTCCTCATGAGCGGCGGTGGTCCGCGTCGGTGGCTCTGTGTTGTCTTCGAAGCGGGGGAAAAAGGTGTTTAGCTTGTCCGGGAGCGAGGCATCACTGTCCGCAGCGTGGCTGGCTTTCCCTTCATAATCCGTGAGTCCAGAGTCCCTGCTACATCCGTCTGGTGTCTGAGCCACTTTGTCCCTATGGTCACACTGTTTCTCCTACCTGCCTGGAACCCCCTCTCCTTTCATAACTGTCTAAGTAAAGCTTCAAAATACCCCCTCAAAAATGTAATTAAATGAATAAAAATAGTGTAGTTTGTGAAGCGTATCGTACCTCTTTTGAAGTCCAGCAGGAACCAGCGGTAACAGAAATAGAAGTGGGTGTAGTCTCCATTCTGATGCATCAGCTCAAACAGCTCCGGATCTAGGATCTGATGACATCATCAAACAGAGACCACACCAGATGAGACCAGAGGTCAGGGGTCATGTTAGTATCATTTGAACACTCACTTCTGTGCACACACCACAAACACACACCCTACCTGTATAAGGGACCTCATGTTGGCGAAGTGTGTGTCCATGGCTCCGCCGTTGGGGAAGTTCTGGCTCATCCTCTTCATCAGCTGGGTGAAACAGCTGTACGCCAGACACTCTGATGGCGGGAGGGAGGGAGGGAGGGAGGGAAGGTGGGAGGGAGGGACAGGGGAGACAGGGAGGGAGACAGGGAGGGAGGGACAGGGGAGACAGGGAGGGAGACAGGGAGGGAGGGACAGGGGAGACAGGGGAGGAGACAGGGAGGGAGGGGGGAGACAGGGAGGAAGGGGGGAGACAGGGAGGGAGACAGGGAGGGATGGGGGAGACAGGGAGGGAGTCAGGGAGGGATGGGGGAGACAGGGAGGGATGGGGGAGACAGGGAGGGAGGGGGGAGACAGGGAGGGAGGGGGGGAGACAGGGGAGGAGACAGGGAGGGAGGGGGGAGGGAGGGGGGGAGACAGGGAGGAAGGGGGGAGACAGGGAGGGAGACAGGGAGGGATGGGGGAGACAGGGAGGGAGACAGGGAGGGATGGGGGAGACAGGGAGGGAGGGAGGGAGGGGGATACATGGAGGGGTATACAGGGAGGGGGGAGACAGGGAGGGATGGGGGAGACAGGGAGAGAGGGGGGTCCTTTTTCTGTCTATTGTGGCCAAGGATTAGACCCATACATTTCCCTTCACTCACTGATCACTGTGTAATGCAACGGCTAACGACTAATGGGTAAAAGCTCATTGCAAATGGCTATACAGTGAGGGAAAAAAGTATTTGATCCCCTGCTGATTTTGTACGTTTGCCCACTGACAAAGACATTATATAATATAATAATATGCCATTGAGCAGACGCTTTTATCCAATGCGATTTACAGTCATGTGTGCATACATTTTAACGTATGGGTGGTCCTGGGGATCGAACCCACTACCCTGGCGTTACAAGCGCCATGCTCTATCAATTGAGCTACAGAGGATCAGTCTATAATTTTAATGGTAGGTTTATTTGAACAGTGAGAGACAGAATAACAACAAAAAATATCCAGAAAAACGCATGTCAAAAATGTCATAAATTGATTTGCATTTTAATGAGGGAAATAAGTATTTGACCCCTCTGCAAAACATGACTTAGTACTTGGTGGCAAAACCCTTGTTGGCAATCACAGAGGTCAGACGTTTCTTGTAGTTGGCCACCAGGTTTGCACACATCTCAGGAGGGATTTTGTCCCACTGCTCTTTGCAGATCTTCTCCAAGTCATTAAGGTTTCGAGGCTGACGTTTGGCAACTCGAACCTTCAGCTCCCTCCACAGATTTCCTATGGGATTAAGGTCTGGAGACTGGCTAGGCCACTCCAGGACCTTAATGTGTTTATTCTTGAGCCACTCCTTTGTTGCCTTGGCCGTGTGTTTTGGGTCATTGTCATGCTGGAATACCCATCCACGACCCATTTTCAATGCCCTGGCTGAGGGAAGGAGGTTCTCACCCAAGATTTGACGGTACATGACGCTGTCCATCGTCCCTTTGATGTGGTGAAGTTGTCCTGTCCCCTTAGCAGAAAAACACCCCCAAAGCATAATGTTTCCACCTCCAAGTTTGACGGTGGGGATGGTGTTCTTGGGGTCATAGGCAGCATTCCTCCTCCTCCAAACACGGCGAGTTGAGTTGATGCCAAAGAGCTCGATTTTGGTCTCATCTGACCACAACACTTTCACCCAGTTCTCCTCTGAATCATTCAGATGTTCATTGGCAAACTTTTGACGGGCCTGTATATGTGCTTTCTTGAGCAGGGGGACCTTGCGGGCGCTGCAGGATTCCAGTCCTTCACGGCGTAGTGTGTTACCAATAGTTTTCTTGGTGACTATGGTCCCAGCTGCCTTGAGATCATTGACAAGATCCTCCCGTGTAGTTCTGGGCTGATTCCTCACCGTTCTCATGATCATTGCAACTCCACGAGGTGAGATCTTGCATGGAGCCCCAGGCCGAGGGAGATTGACAGTTATTTTGGGTTTCTTCCATTTGCGAATAATCGCACCAACTGTTGTCACCTTCTCACCAAGCTGCTTGGCGATGGTCTTGTAGCCCATTCCAGCCGTGTGTAGGTCTACAATCTTGTCCCTGACATCCTTGGAGAGCTCTTTGGTCTTGGCCATGGTGGAGAGTTTGGAATCTGATTGATTGATTGCTTCTGTGGACAGGTATCTTTTATACAGGTAACAAGCTGTGATTAGGAGCACTCCCTTTAAGAGTGTGCTCCTAATCTCAGCTCGTTACCTGTATAAAAGACACCTGGGAGCCAGAAATCTTTCTGATTGAGAGGGGGTCAAATACTTATTTCCCTCATTAAAATGCAAATCAATTTATAACATTTTTGACATGCGTTTTTCAGGATTTTGTTGTTGTTATTCTGTCTCTCACTGTTCAAATAAACCTACTATTAAAATTATAGACTGATAATTTCTTTGTCAGTGGGCAAACGTACAAAATCAGCAGGGGATCAAATACTTTTTTCCCCTCACTGTAATTGCTAATGACGCAGATGCTAAGCTACAGGACTGTTTTGCTAGCACAGACTGGAACATGTTCCGGGATTCTTCGGATAGCATTGAGGAGTACACCACATCAGTCACTGGCTTCTTCAATAAGTGCATCGATGATGTCGTCCCCACAGTGACCGTACGTACATACCCCAACCAGAAGCCATGGATTACAGGAAACATCCGCACTGAGCTAAAGGGTAGAGCTGCCGCTTTCAAGGAGCGGGACTCTAACCCGGACGCTTATAAGAAATCCCGCTATGCCCTCCGACGAACCATCAAACAGGCAAAGAGTCAATACAGGACTAAGATTGAATCGTACTACACTGGCTCTGATGCTCGTCAGATGTGGCAGGGCTTGAAAACTATTACAGACTACAAAGGGAACCACAGCCGCGAGCTGCCCAGTGACACAAGCCTACCAGACGAGCTAAACCACTTCTATGCTCGCTTCGAGGCAAGCAACACTGAAGCATGCATGAGAGCACCAGCTGTTCCGGATGACTATGTGATCACGCTCTCCGTAGCCGATGTGAGTAAGACTTTTAAGCAGGTCAACATTCACAAGGCCGCAGGGCCAGACGGATTACCAGGACGTGTACTCCGAGCATGTGCTGACCAACTGGCAAGTGTCTTCACTGACATTTTCAACATGTCCCTGACTGAGTCTGTAATACCAACATGTTTCAAGCAGACCACCATAGTCCCCGTGCCCAACGACTCTAAGATAACCTGCCTAAATGACTACCGACCCGTAGCACTGACGTCTGTAGCCATGAAGTGCTTTGAAAGGCTGGTCATGGCTCACATCAACAGCATTATCCCAGAAACCCTAGACCCACTCCAATTGGCATACCGCCCCAACAGATCCACAGACGATGCAATCTCTATTGCACTCCACACTGCCCTTTCCCACCTGGACAAGAGGAACACCTACGTGAGAATGCTATTCATTGACTACAGCTCAGCATTCAACACCATAGTGCCCTCAAAGCTCATCACTAAGCTAAGGATCCTGGGACTAAACACCTCCCTCTGCAACTGGATCCTGGACTTCCTGACGGGCCGCCCCCAGGTGGTAAGGGTAGGTAACAACACATCTGCCACACTGATCCTCAACACGGGGGCCCCTCAGGGGTGCGTGCTCAGTCCCCTTCTGTACTCCCTGTTCACCCATGACTGCATGGCCAGGCACGACTCCAACACCATCTTTAAGTTTGCCGACGACACAACAGTGGTAGGCCTGATCACCGACAACGATGAGACAGCCTATAGGGAGGAGGTCAGAGACCTGGCCGTGTGGTGCCAGGACAACAACCTCTCCCTCAACGTGACCAAGACAAAGGAGATGATTGTGGACTACAGGAAAAAAAAGAGGACTGAGCACGCCCCCATTCTCATCGACGGGGCTGTAGTGGAACAGGTTGAGAGCTTCAAGTTCCTTGGTGTCCACATCACCAACGAACTATCATGGTCCAAACACACCAAGACAGTCGTGAAGAGGACACGACAAAGCCTATTCCCCCTCAGGAGACTGAAAAGATTTGGCATGGGTCCTCAGATCCTCAAAAAATTATACAGCTGCACCATCGAGAGCATCCTGACTGGTTGCGTCACCGCCTGGTATGGCAACTGCTTGGCCTCCGACCGCAAGGCACTACAGAGGGTAGTGCGTACGGCCCAGTACATCACTATATATACTATTATATTATATTATTATTATTATTATTATTATATCACTGGGGCCAAGCTTCCTGCCATCCAGGACCTCTATACCAGGCGGTGTCAGAGGAAGGCCCTCAAAATTGTCAAAGACTCCAGCCACCCTAGTCATAGACTGTTCTCTCTGCTACCGCACGGCAAGCGGTACCGGAGTGCCAAGTCTAGGTCCAAAAGACTTCTCAACAGCTTCTACCCCCAAGCCATAAGACTCCTGAACAGCTAATCATGGCTACCCGGACTATTTGCACTGCCCCCCCACCCCATCCTTTTACGCTGCTGCTACTCTGTTAATTATTTATGCATAGTCACTTTAACTCTACCCACATGTACATATTACTTCAACTACCTCAACTAGCCGGTGCCCCCGCACATTGACTCAGCACCGGTACCCCCCTGTATATATAGCCTCCCTACTGTTATTTTATTTTACTTCTGCTCTTTTTTTCTCAACACTTTTTTTGTTGTTGTTTTATTTTTACTTTTTTGTTAAAAATAAATGCACTGTTGGTTAAGGGCTGTAAGTAAGCATTTCACTGTAATGTCTGCACCTGTTGTATTCGGCGCATGTGGCCAATAAAAATTGATTTGATTTGATTTGATTTAATGGTACATTACTAATAGCTAGCTAACAGCTAATAGCTAACAGCTAACAGCTAACAGCTTATGGGCTCCATAGGGCCCTGGTCAAAATAAGTGCACAGTATAGGGAATAGGGTGGTAATTGGAAGGCAGCCATGGTGTCTGGGGTTCCTACCATCGTCCAGGATGACCATGAGCGGGGCCAGCAGGTCGCACATCCCCTGGACATAACCCATCTCCAGGTGGTCCCACACATAGCTGGAACAGGATGGGGAAGAGGGGGGATCGAAGGGGGAAACACGAAGAGGAGTCATGAAATAATGAGTGAATGAGTGAGCAAATAAAAGTGTGTGTGTGTGTGTGTGTGTGTGTGTGTGTGTGTGTGTCTGTGTGTGTGTGTGTGTCTGTGTGTGTGTGTGTGTGTGTGTGTCTGTGTGTCTGTGTGTCTGTGTGTGTGTGTGTGTGTGTGTGTGTGTGTGTGTGTGTGTGTGTGTGTGTGTGTGTGTGTGTGTGTGTGTGTGTGTGTGTATGCGCGTGTTTACCTGCACATGACGTTGCGTAGTTTCTCCAGGTTAGCGGTCGTAAAGTAGTAGTAGTTACGATCACAGCGCTGGACATCCTTGTCTATCCTGTGGAGGTTCAGAGCCACTGTGTCCAACAACTCAATCTGCACACACACACACTTCAATTCAATTCAATTCAATTCATTTGATCCGTTTCAATTCACTTCAGTTCACTTGAAGAGTAAATATAAATGCAGTAAAGCCTTTATAGAACAGTATTCAGAACAGTATTCAGAACAGTATTAAAATGTGATCTACGTGTTTGGATATGCAATTCAATGATGTTCCCTGTGAGTGTAGGGACTCTTTATTGAGTATCTCCCTGTGTGTGTGTGTGTGTGTGTGTGTGTGTGTGTGTGTGTGTGTGTGTGTGTGTGTGTGTGTGTGTGTGTGTGTGTGTGTGTGTGTGCGTGCGTGCGTGCGTGCGTGCGTGCGTGCGTGTGTCCCCAGTACCTACCGTATAGGAGGACAGCGAAGGCATCCCCTCTGCTCCTCCATTCCCATTGGTCATCAACTTATCCAGCTGACTGCACAGCCTCTCCTCACTCAACGACTCCTGTCGCTCCTCCATCTCACTGTGGGAGTGTGTCCGGGCCTCCTCCTCCATCTCACTGTGGGAGTGTGTCCGGGCCTCCTCCTCCATCTCACTGTGGGAGTGTGTCCGGGCCTCCTCCTCCTCCGTGCCGTCGTCGATAGAGGAGAGAATCCCGGAGGTGACAGAGTAGTTCCGGGAGGACGGGAGGCCGGAGTCAGGGGAGTCAAACTCCACTAGGGGGCGCTCATCAGGAGCTAGTGCTCCACCGGCTGCAAGAGGTACAACTGTAGAGAGGCCGGGGGTGTCTCCTCCGCTCCCCCCTGGGGTGTCCTGCCCCCCCGCGTCGGGCTCATCCACTGACATGAACACCTAGGAGGAGGGAGGAATGGGGGGAGGAGGGAGAAGGGGAGAGGAGGAGGGAGAAGGTGCGAGGAGGAGGAGGGAGAAGGGGGGAGGAGGAGGAGGGAGAAGGGGGGAGGTGGAGGGAGAAGGGGGGAGGTGGAGGGAGAAGGTGGGAGGAGGAGGGAGAAGGTGGGGGGAGGAGGATGGAGAAGGGGGGAGGAGGATGGAGAAGGGGGAGGAGGAGGGAGAAGGGGGGAGGAGGAGGGAGAAGGGGGGAGGAGGATGGAGAAGGGGGGAGGAGGATGGAGAAGGTGGGAGGAGGAGGGAGAAGGGGGAGGAGGAGGATGAAAAGGTGGTGGTAGAGGTAGGTTTTATATAAACAGCTACAACAAACACAATTTCTCCTCAGAAAAACGACCCGTTCTAGTTTTATGTTATGGTGTTTTTATAATGACAAAAAGAAAAACATTTATTCAATCAACCAATCAATCAATCAACCAACCAATCAACGAATTAATCAACCAACCAGCCAACAAATTAATCAACCAACCAATCAATCAGTGTCACCCACCTCGTTGCAGAGAGTGGATTGTCTGAGTCGGAGGACGTGGCTGTCTATGCTGCTTCCTGAAGACAGCTTAGCAAAGATGGCCGACTGCATCTCTTTCTCTCTCTGCTTGACTATCACCTCGCAGGCCTTCCACTCCTTCATCACCTGCTGGTACCGTGCACTGATCTTCTCATCGATCTACAGATGAACATGGTATGACAAGATATTTTAAAATATATTTATTACATTTGACGCTTTATTCAGACAGTTGGAAACTGAGGGGGTTACAGTAAAGTGGGAAGACAGTAGGAAGGGCTGGAAACAAGTATTGAACCCCGTCTCCGGTGGGATTAGTACATGGGCAAGGTGTTAAGACAGACAGACAGACAGACAGACAGACAGACAGACAGACAGACAGACAGACAGACAGACGTATTGATAGCTACCTGGCTCATGTCCTTCTTGCCCATGCCAAACTTGTAGTGACCCAGTAGGAAGGGCCAGACTTCCTTCCTGATCTCATGCTGTACACCTCCATAATACACCAGCCACAACAACTCCAACTCCTTATAGTTCTATAGAGGGGGGAGAGAGAGAGCGATAGAGAAAGAGAGAGAGTGAGAGAGAGAGAGAGAAAAAGAGAGAGATAAAGAGAGGGGGAGAGATGGAGAGAGAGAAAGAGAAGAAGGGAGAAAAAGAAGAAATACAGAAGAACAATATCCAGTAAGAGAGGAGAAGAGAGAGAGAGAGTAGAGAAGGAAAGGGGGAGAGAAAGAGATAGAGTAGAGAAAGAGGGGGACAGAAAGAGAAGGGGAGAGAGAGAAAGAGAAAGAAAGAGACAGAGAGAAAGAGAGGGGAGAGAGAAATAGAGAGAGAGAAATAGAGAGAGAGAGGATTGAGGAAAAGCACGGGGAGAGGGGGAAGGGGAAATGAGGAGGATGGAGGATGAGAGAGGAGAGGGGAGACAGGGAGAAAAAAGAGAGGGGAGAGAGAGAGGGGGAGAGAGAGAACGGGAAAGAGAGAGAGAGAGAGAGAGAGAGAGAGAGAGAGAGAGAGAGAGAAGGAGAAAGAGGGGGAGAGGGAGAAATAATGACAGAGAAAGTTAAAGAACGTTAAAGAGAGAGAAAGAGGGATAAAGCGAGAAGGTTGAAAAGAGAGACCCCAGGCCAAATAAAAATTTCAGGAGAGAGAGAGAGAGACCAAGTCAAAGAGAAAGATCAGTAGAGAGAGAGACCGATACAAAGAGACAGATCAGTAGAGAGTGAGAGACCAAGTCAAAGAGAAAGATCAGTAGAGAGAGAGACCAAGACAAAGAGACAGATCAGTAGAGAGAGACCGATACAAAGAGACAGATCAGTAGAGAGAGAGAGAGACCAAGACAAAGAGACAGATCAGTAGAGACAGAGAGACCAAGACAAAGAGACAGATCAGTAGAGACAGAGAGACCAAGACAAAGAGACAGATCAGTAGAGAGAGAGACCGATACAAAGAGACAGATCATTAGAGAGAGAGAGAGACCAAGACAGAGACAGATCAGTAGAGAGAGACCGATACAAAGAGACAGATCAGTAGAGAGAGAGAGAGACCAAGACAAAGAGACAGATCAGTAGCGACAGAGAGACCAAGACAAAGAGACAGATCAGTAGAGACAGAGAGACCAAGACAAAGAGACAGATCAGTAGAGAGAGAGACCGATACAAAGAGACAGATCAGTAGAGAGAGAGAGAGACCAAGACAAAGAGACAGATCAGTAGAGACAGAGAGACCAAGACAAAGAGACAGATCAGTAGAGAGAGAGACCGATACAAAGAGACAGATCAGTAGAGCGAGAGAGACCAAGACAAAGAGACAGATCAGTAGAGACAGAGAGACCGATACAAAGAGACAGATCAGTAGAGAGAGAGAGAGACCAAGACAAAGAGACAGATCAGTTGAGAGAGAGACCAAGACAAAGAGACAGATCAGTAGAGAGTGAGAGACCAAGACAAAGAGACAGATCAGAAGACAGAGAGACCAAGACAAAGAGACAGATCAGTAGAGAGAGAGAGGCCAAGACAAAGAGACAGATCAGTAGAGAGAGAGAGACCAAGACAAAGAGACTGATCAGTAGAGAGAGACCAAGACAAAGAGACAGATAAGTAGAGAGAGACCAAGACAAAGAGACAGATCAGTAGAGAGAGAGACCATGAAAAAGAGAGATCAGTAGAGACAGAGAGACCAAGACAAAGAGACAGATCAGTAGAGAGAGAGAGACCAAGACAAAGAGACAGATCAGTAGAGCGAGAGAGACCAAGACAAAGAGAAAGATCAGTAGAGAGAGAGAGAAGGGACCAAAACAAAGAGACATACCAGTAGAGACAGAGAGACCAAGACAAAGAGACAGATCAGTAAAGAGAGAGACCAAGACAAAGAGACAGATCAGTAGAGAGAGACAAAGACAGAGAAAGATCAGTAGAGAGAGAGACCATGAAAAAGAGACAGATCAGTAGAGAGAGACCAAGACAAAGAGACAGATCAGTAGAGAGAGAGACCAAGACAAAGAGACAGATCAGTAAAGAGAGAGACCAAGACAAAGAGACAGATCAGTAGAGAGAGACCAAGACAAAGAGACAGATCAGTAGAGAGAGAGAGACCATGAAAAAGAGACAGATCAGTAGAGAGAGAGAGACCAAGACAAAGAGACAGATCAGTAGAGAGAGAGAGACCAAGACAAAGAGACAGATCAGTAGAGAGAGAGAGAGACCGATACAAAGAGACAGATCAGTAGAGAGAGAGAGAAGGGACCAAAACAAAGAGACAGATCAGTAGAGACAGAGAGACCAAGACAAAGAGACAGACCAGTAGAGACAGAGAGACCAAGACAAAGAGACAGATCAGTAAAGAGAGAGACCAAGACAAAGAGACAGATCAGTAGAGAGAGACAAAGAAAGAGACAGATCAGTAGAGAAAGACCATGAAAAAGAGACAGATCAGTAGAGAGAGACCAAGACAAAGAGACAGATCAGTAGAGAGAGAGAGACCAATACAAAGAGACAGATCAGTAGAGAGAGAGAGACCGATACAAAGAGACAGATCAGTAGAGAGAGAGAGAGAGACCAAAACAAAGAGACAGACCAGTAGAGACAGAGAGACCAAGACAAAGAGACAGATCAGTAGAGACAGAGAGACCAAGACAAAGAGACAGATCAGTAGAGAGAGAGACCAAGACAAAGAGACAGATCAGTAGAGAGAGAGACCAAGACAAAGAGACAGATCAGTAGAGAGAGAGAGACCAAGACAAAGAGACAGATCAGTAGAGAGAGAGACCGATACAAAGAGACAGATCAGTAGAGAGAGAGAGACCAAGACAAAGAGACAGATCAGTAGAGAGAGACCGATACAAAGAGACAGATCAGTAGAGAGAGAGAGACCAAGACAAAGAGACAGATCAGTAGAGACAGAGAGACCGATACAAAGAGACAGATCAGTAGAGAGAGAGAGACCAAGACAAAGAGACAGATCAGTAGAGAGAGAGAGACCAGGACACAAGAGACAGATCAGTAGAGAGAGACGATACAAAGAGACAGATCAGTAGAGAGAGAGAGACCAAGCCAAAGAGACAGATCAGTAGAGACAGAGGAGACCGAATACAAGAGGACAGATCAGTAGAGAGAGAGAGACCAAGACAAAGAAGGACAGATCAGTAGAAGAGAGGACCGATACAAAGAGACAGATCAGTAGAGAGAGAGACCAAGACAAAGCGAGAGATCAGTAGAGAGAGAGAGAGAGAGATAGAGAGAGAGAGAGAGAGAGAGAGACCGATACAAAGAGACAGATCAGTAGAGAGAGAGACCAAGACAAAGAGACAGATCAGTAGAGAGAGAGAGAGACCAAGACAAAGAGACAGATCAGTAGAGAGAGAGACCAAGACAAAGAGACAGATCAGTAGAGAGAGACCGATACAAAGAGACAGATCAGTAGAAGAGAGAGACCAAGACAAAGAGACAGATCAGTAGAGAGAGACCGATACAAAGAGACAGATCAGTAGAGAGAGAGACCAAGACAAAGAGACAGATCAGTAGAGAGAGAGTCCAAGACAAAGAGACAGATCAGTAGAGAGAGACCGATACAAAGAGACAGATCAGTAGAGAGAGAGACCAAGACAAAGAGACAGATCAGTAGAGAGAGAGACCAAGACAAAGAGACAGATCAGTAGAGAGAGAGAGACCAAGACAAAGAGACAGATCAGTAGAGAGAGAGAGACCAAGACAAAGAGACAGATCAGTAGAGAGAGAGAGACCAAGACAAAGAGACAGATCAGTAGAGAGAGAGACCGATACAAAGAGACAGATCAGTAGAGAGAGAGAGAGACCAAGACAAAGAGACAGATCAGTAGAGAGAGAGAGAGACCAAGACAAAGAGACAGATCAGTAGAGAGAGAGAGACCAAGACAAAGAGACAGATCAGTAGAGAGAGAGAGACCAAGACAAAGAGACAGATCAGTAGAGAGAGAGACCGATACAAAGAGACAGATCAGTAGAGAGTGTTTGGAGACGCAGGTGGAACACATGAATGGACTATCAGGTACACCAGACACATGCTTGTTGATATCACATCGTCATGGACCGGCTGAAAAAACTATGACACGAGCACACTGCCCCCATAGGGGTTAATGACACATGGAATATACAACGGAAGAACATTGTACACCATCCTTTTAACAATCCCACACTCTCTTACCATCCTTTTAACAAACCCTGAAATGTTATGGATTTTATGGTCCGATTCGTGCAGACCGTGACCTGTCAATGACCTTTTATGGTCCGATTCGTGCAGACCGTGACCTGTCAATGACCTTTTATGGTCCGATTCGTGCAGACCGTGACCTGTCAATGACCTTTTATGGTCCGATTCGTGCAGACCGTGACCTGTCAATTACCGGTAAAGCAACAGGAGGGGTGTGTTTCTACATAAAATAATCCTGGTGTTCTTCCATTAACATCAAGAGCTGGTTATGTATATATCACAGCTGGTTATGTATATATCACAGCTGGTTATGTATATATCACAGCTGGTTATGTATATATCACAGCTATGGTTATGTATATATCACAGCTGGTTATGTATATATCACAGCTGGTTATGTATATATCACAGCTGGTTATGTATATATCACAGCTGTGGTTATGTATATACAGTGGGGAAAAAAAGTATTTAGTCAGCCACCAATTGTGCAAGTTCTCCCACTTAAAAAGATGAGAGAGGCCTGTAATTTTCATCATATGTACACGTCAACTATGACAGACAAAATGAGGGAAAAAAATCCAGAATATCACATTGTAGGATTTTTAATGAATTTATTTGCAAATTATGGTGGAAAATAAGTATTTGGTCAACTTCAAACAAGCAAGATTTCTGGCTCTCACAGACCTGTAACTTCTTCTTTAAGAGGCTCCTCTGTCCTCCACTCGTTACCTGTATTAATGGCACC